AGTACTCTCTATAGAGATTTTATAAAGGTACCTGAACCCGGAATCGAGCTAACTAAAAATGCAAATAATAAGAACTCACTATTTTATTGTAGCATTCGATAGAATTATTTATAAGGATAAAATCTCTCCAACAAAAGTTGAGTCCTACGATTCAAGATGTCCATGAAATCTAATATAGATAATAGTAATAAGGTTTTTCTGAGCATCTTTAATTGCATTATTAGGTAGTTCGATTTCCGGCTCAATCAAACGTTTAAAAAGTCTGCAAATGTGTAACTGTGAGTTTACTTTTCTCTACCTAATTTCGGTGACAATATATATTGAAAATTCTACAATATTGTCTTGAAGTATTATTGAATATTCGAATGTAGTATCCTGAAATATAATTCAATATTTCACGATAATATACTTTAATACTTAATTAATAAAAATTGCCAGCGAAATTAGGTAGAGAAAACTGACCTGGAAATTACCGAAATGCAAATCACATTTAAAAAAATAAAAGATGTTTCCTTTAAATCAAATTAGCTATCTTAAGCGTTCAAAGTAACTCCCTTTTCATGTTCCATAGATTTTGTTCCAACCTGTATAAGTGTCAAGTGAAAAACAAAGTGTAATAATAGGTATTGCAATTATCATAATTTTATTGCAATAGAACCATACCTTTACATCAACAATTTTTTTAAATAGCAGCGACTCAACATTATTTTATTTCTTAAAAGCACATGTTTCATTATAATTATTGTCAAACTGTTCAAATAATTTCAAAAGACGTAAGCTCTACATTCAAGAACACTGATTTGATTTTAAAGTATAAATGACAAATCGATCCTTACTTTCTCAAACTCGTATCTTATAAACAGTGATTATTCAGGAGATGGCAAAAGTTTCTACTTATTTGAAATTTCTTATCAAGGGGGTTAATTTGGATGCATTATTTTAACAACAGGCAAAACCCAGTGTGTGAATATGAAGGAAATATGATGTGAAATCAGCGTGCAAAATTTGTATACACAATCCATTTTTTGCATTCCAGTAACTTTGTGCGTTGAGGTACGAGTTTGAGAAAGTAACGCGACGAAATCCCTAACTTCATTGTCTATCTATATCGCGTATATTTGTTTTTTCAAACAACGTTTCGGGCCCTTTACAGGTCTCACGGTCACGGCTCAGTCAGCTTTTAGAAACCGTTTATTTCCTATGTGTATGTACGAGTATAATCGCAAAAACCTAAGAACTCGATATCAAACATATCTGTTATTTCCGTTGACAAGCAAATAATAATGTTGATAAACGTAACTACTGTTCCATATCTATTCTTCCATAAACTATCCTATATTCTTCCTCCCAGCGTTTCGGCTTCTTAATTTGAAATAGTTGCTCTTTCGCACGTTTCGGTTAATTCTTCAACCGTTTCTGATAGAGAGACTTGGTAAATGGACCTGTATTTTAGTTGGTAAAGCAATGGGGCCGGAATCCCGTGGTTGCAGGTTCGAGTACTGTCGGGTCGAAGGATTTTTTCTTTGTGTTCGATCTTTGTGTTTAATAGTTATTCAAATTGTTATTTTAACATTTTACAATTATTATCATTGCAATTTACTCATATAACTACCACTGCGTTTAAATCGCTGCCCGACTTACTAAATCTATGTGAGCATATACCTACTTAGCTTCATCTGTTGAAGTGCATATGAATAAATGTAAAACGTACATTCACAATGTTTGTATACCTAATGTTTGGCCGGACACAGTAAAACTATACTTATTTTGTACATGTCAACTTCTTATACAACCGCTGTGTTTTCATAAATAAATGAATTATCATTTTTTCAATCTTTAATAAAGCATAAAATAAAAAGCGCTTATAATAGCAGATTCTGCTTTTACAATCGCCATAATCCAGGTTATTTTAATCGGGTATTTTATTCACTTACAATTTTAATTCGGAAACACCGCAACTTACAATTTCAAATAAACTGTAAAATGTCATCTAATGGCCAAAAGTAAGGAGTCCACATTTTGTTCTTTAACATACAGATAAACATATAATTCACACCTTTTTCCCATCAGGTAGGCAGACAACAACCTCCCACTTGCTACGGTCCTGAAACACATCCTTCACCTCATCAACACGCGTCAGTGCCTCTATACACGCTCGTTGGCTAAGGATACTCTTGACTTGACCCTTCTGACGGCCTTTTTTGTTCTTAAAACTGGAACTAATAGACAATTATAATCGGTCAGGTGAATGTAGTTTTTAGAGCAGTTTAACACTTATAAGAAAGAGGTTTACTACATTACAAAATTTATGTAACGCTATTAAGATAAATTCTTTGGCTCGGATAAAATAGAACATGGTATCTAGAACGTTCAAAAGAGTTAAATAAACTAGACACTACGTTGGATTTTTGTCTAAAAGCCATAACGGTTTATTCAAACGCGTCGACGAATACTCACACTTTCGGTAAATAGAGAACGGCCTACATTTTAGCCATAAAGTAAAATTTCTAGCGTAGGTCACTACAAAGAGTTGGCAACGTATACACCCTAGTCATAAACTTGAAGTCATATATTCAATACATAGCTGTGGTAGCCTAAGGCTCAATTTATATTGCGGCGGAACGGAATGGAAGCGAATTTTTGTAACGATATCGTACATAGTTTTTTACTCCCAGGGTTCACTCTCAGGGCGGCAGCCTAACTAACCTAACCCAACCCGCATTGAGCCAGCGTGGCGGACTACGGCCTATAACCTCGCTTGTGAGGAGACCTGTATCCAGCAGTGAGACGTACGACATGTTTTGATGATGATGATATATATATATATTGAATACGATATATATATATTGAATACGACGTAAATGAGTTTATGGAACTATTACTAACACACATGAACAGAGACCATTGACTTCTAGTAGCTACTACTCCCAGATAAAAAAACAGTGATCGTCTAATTAATAGATCACTAGCCTCCTGTATACGATAACTTAAGCTCGATGTAGAGGAGTCGGCACCACTGAGTCATTTCAAATCCAGTTCAGCTTAGTTTCCTAAACTTTAGTAGAGCTCTTAGAAAAAGAGTTCGTCCAGGGAAGTACTGCCACCTTACCTATTTCTGCGGCCAACCAGTAACGTGAGCATTACTGCGTTTCGGTTTTGAGGGGTAAGTGTGCTGGTGAAATTAAAGACACATGGGACTTGTCAACTTTTGTCTCAGAGTGACTGGCGCTGCGGCAGTGCCCCTTAATCTTTGTGATTTATAGATCTGAGTGGCTCTGCAACTGTTGTGCGTTCCGTCACTTGGTAACTAAAATCTTTTTTAGTTACCAAGTTTAGTTTTTTAGTTGGTAAATAAAAAAAATGGCTTGCTTAAATAGGAAAAATAACATATTGAAGAAAGTTCACAAATTTCTTCGAAGATATTATTACGTACAATTCCTGCTTAGCTGCCATGGTAGACTATGACCTAAAATCCTCTCGTTGAGGGAGGACATATTATGAGGGTAAATGGTATATATTTCATCATCCATTTTCTTCAGACGATATTTTACGTGTGTCGACGTTTGTCAGATAAAAATGTGTATTTACACGAAAGCATTCCCTTTTTATCCTAGCCAATTACACTTGTATTATAAAGTAATTGGCAAGGATAAAAAAGGATTAAAAAAACACTCGTTTATAATTAATTATTGTTAATTATTTATAATTAATTAATTATATTGTTATTTATATCTATTGTAATTATTGTTTTTGAAAAATATCAAAGTAATCAAATAGAACAGCTTCACTATAAATCTGTCTCCTTAGAAAAACTCACTAATTAGAAAGATATTTAATAGATACATACATTTATAATTATAATATGACAACATAAATATCAGGCACAATTGGTACTGACACAGACAAATTGCGTTCAAAAGTAAAGTTTGTAAATCACTCTTGTATTATTGGTCTTTAAAACGTTGTCGTATTATTCATATTTTCTTATTATAATTATGACCATTACGACTGTAAGAGTTATACGTGGAGAAATCTTTTTATATTATGCTTAGTAGTTTTTCAGTAATGTTGTTTGGCTCACTCATTTTATTTGAACATCAATATGCAGAAACCTAACCCTTTATCTTGTTATGTGCTTTTATATGTAGAGGTGTCTTAACTAAATGAATAACATTCCATAGCGATATAGACAAAGACTACGCTGTAGAAGATAGATATAGTTAGATATATACATTTTAGTTCACTGCGTCACGTCAAAATACAACCGCTACTTCTTACTATTTACATAGCCAATGCATGTACGTTTCCTTGGTAGCACAACAACTAGTGTTGTTGAATTAGTTCATGCATCGGAATTGGCCAACAACTTAATTTACAACTTACGAAGTAGAACTTAAAGAAGTTTATATGAAACGGTTTCCTTTCGATATTCTAATTGTGATGTAAGGATAATTTCTAACATCGAGATGAAAGGGTATAATTATGTAGAGAACTGTCTCTGAGATGTCAATCACATCCAAATATGCGGTCAATTAATTGATTTTGTACGTTGTTACACGACCGGGTCATCCTAAGAATATTGCATCACAAGTAGGTGCATCTGCTTGACATTTGAATCGACCCCGAATCCGAATAGAAACTGTGTCACGCATTAACAGCGGCGGCAGCGGCGATGGCGGCGCGAGGTGAGTTGCGTTGTGCAATCCCGTTAGCGCGCTGCTGCCTAGCTCTATCTAGCTCCACGTGCAGCGGCCGGCGCGACTCAATGTCGCCCGCGCCTGTGGGCAGTCCGCCCGCCCCGCACCACAACCCGCCGCCCGTCGCCTCGTGCCCTACACCACCCCGCTCCACCCTCCCGCTGAAAATAGCGAACACATCCGAACACTAAGTCGAGCATCTCAACGTACGCCATCTCGCTCACCCTACTGAACGCCGGTACTTTGGTCTTGCTCCCGCGAACAGCTGAGTATCAAAACAAAGAAGCGAGACGGGCGGTCGCCGCTCCCGCTCGCCGGCCGGCCGGTGTCGTGCTTCACGCACGCCAGTTCTCGTTTGAATCGCTTCTATTGAGGTCGTCCGCTGCGAGTTGCGTGCGAAGTTTGCTAACGCGAAAGGATTTTCCTTTGTCCCGACGCTCGAGGACCCTGCCCTCGTATTATGTTTCCGCGCGAGAGCTGCGACCAACCCCGGCCTACTGAGGAACCGGACCGCGCGCAGCGTACTGAATCGCGTCGAAATAGTCGTGCTTTCCCGAAATTCTGTGACGGTTACCCTACGAAACGCGTTCGCCGGGCGATTTGAAGTTGTTGAGTGATCTTGTGAGAGGATTAAGTTTGAGACAACGTTTAACGGACTGTACCACGTAGCTACCATGTCGACCGGTAAGCGGCTAGCGAAACGGTCCATCATTGGGACGCGCGTAGCAGCGCTGGGTGACGACGGACTCTATTATTCAGGCATGATCCAAGCGGTGAAGACGCCGGCACCCTTCCCAGAAAACAACAACTGTATCAATCTGACGCCGAATACGCGGTACACGGTGCGGTTTGACGGTGGCAAGATCACGCGCGAATACCGCGACGCCGAGCTGATCGGACCCGGCTTTCGCAGCATGACCGGTGTACGCTTGCAGCTCGGTCAGCGCGTCTTCCTCACCCACAACGGGCGTGAGGTGCGCGCTGAGGTCATCAGTCACGACCACGACACCGACGAGATGCGCGTAAAGATTCACGCACCTTCTTCTGAGGTTAGTAGAACCTGTTCCTTTCTCCACCCCTTCGCAGTATTTCAATCTGATGACGATAATTAATGGCTTTAAACATTTATATTCTTTCCTTCGAGTCGCGTGTGATATCTGCGCGACTTTTAACATGTGACGCAGTAACACCTGAACGCAAGATTTTACAGAATAAAAAAGCTAACTCTACATTGTAATGAGTCAACAAACTTCAGTAGACACATACGAACTCACAGCTAGGTTTTCCCCCAACTTCAGGAAAGAAAATACTTTCAGTAAAATAAGTAGAAGCGAATAATAACTGAATACAGTTGTGCCATACAGAAGACATCAACGCAATCGCTATCGCATGTGATGCGATGAGGGAAATGAAGTCTACTTACTGTTTATACATGTTACATTATTAAAGAGAGATAGAGGAATAGTGGTTTGTGCTACTTTACCTTAACACTCATGAACTTGTTAAATATAAATCTTTGGTATAAGTGTAATGGAATTTTTTTAAATAGCCGTACTATACGATAAAGTTAGAGGCTAGAAAATCTTAATTCTCAATATGCAACGCAGTGAGTGTGTCGCGTGTTACATCAATTGCACAAGATAAGAGATTGCACTGACAAAGGTTCCCGATCAGCGCGGGCGCAGCTATTGACCTGGCTACACGTGCAGTGCACCCCGCCGCCAGTCCCGCGCACTCTACATGCTGACCTGCCTATTACGCATTAAAGTTACTGTACTGGTGCATCGAGATTCAGCCTGCTATTTCTATTTGATTCTTCTGATCGCGGACAAAGGCTTCGTCCTTCAAAGGAGTCGTTAAAAAAATTATACAATAACGTACCTGTTCTTAAGAACTTTTATTACTTTTTAGAAACTACAACTGTTACTACTGATACAATAGTTAAGTACTCTGACTTTGTTTTAAATCATAAAGCTTTTTTAAAGGGAAAGTTCAACAAATATAAGCCTCAAATAACGTCCCAATTTAAAGTATTAAATAATTATTATTATTATGCTGGTCAACGTGTTTCTTCTAATATTGTAGAACGTAAACATTAATAAAGGTACACCTTTATCGTAGCACGACCAAATTTATTCACTTTGAAATCTAGGCAGAAACATTGACTTTCGCAAGTGTTTTTTTCCCTTAGTTAACAATCTCAGAAACTACGCCATCATATAACGTATCTAACAAACAAATCTTGGATGATTTCAGAAATATAGTGTCACGTCGGTTCATTTCTATACACAGCATCAAGTTAGCAACCCTTCAATTCGCGAAAAAAAAGCCTCGAGGTAATGCTTTTCACGTCTCTCTCGCATACGTAGGTATGCATTAACTAAATTCGGTCGCACCGTTAGTCGCGACGTCTAACAGGTAGTCCAAGATTACAATAATCGCCCTTGTGCTTGAAGTTGGCACAGATTATACGATTATATGACGTACGTATCTACCAAGACTTTTTGTAATGTTAAAAATATAATACGAAAATGAAACTTGTTTTTAAAATTTGCAAGTGAATTTAGATAAAAGATGCTCCAGAAACGGACTAAAACTCATTTAAGTTTTGTCAGAAGATTACGTTGTTTCTGTAAATGCAGTACATCTGTACGACACAAATAAACGTATTGCGTAGCAACACAGTAACAGTTAAAGATTATATTACAATGTCGTCCTTGTGTTGCGGCAAATATTATTCATACCAGTCGCCGGCCGGCGCGCGCGTGTAGTCGGTGCGACACCCGGGTACTACAGCTACGCTTAGCGACAGCTCTACACTACAACACCCATGACTCTATGACTAATTAATATTTCCACACCGCCGCTACAATTCGACTCAAAATCTGCACACATAGAGGAACTAATATTCACCTGATCGAATCTGATTAGATGCATAAATAAAGAAATAACGTAAAACGACAACGTTTTATAAAAACGCGAAGCAGAAGTGTCAGTCGTGCCGTGTCGGACATGCTTGCCTTGGTAAATTACAAAAGAGAAAAGAAGAAATTTAGCCTGATATCCTGTGTATCTATTGCATAGTTATATGTAGAATCTCCGTAACAGTGTAATAAATGACGCTAATGCATTTTGTATAAATATGTATAATGAAATTTATATTTCATATATGATAATTGTCTAAATGACTTGCCACATTTAAATCTGACCGCCTGTTAACTCGCCAAGGTTTGTTGAAGGTTTCCCTGGTCGTGACTTTTTTAAATGCCTTTTTTATACTTTATTTATATCTGAGTTTAGAAAAAAGTCTGTGGTTTCATTATACTACAATTATTTAAATACAGGAAAATATGCAAAATCAATGCTATAACCGTTTATACTTTAAATTTTCACTCCCTTTAATGCCAACACATTTGCGTTACAACAGGAAAATGCAGAAATTGTTCCAAGTTTATTAGTTTCTTTCTCTAAAACAAACAATGAACAACAATGGCGCAGCAAGTAGATGACACAATAGGAAGCCAGCTAGAAGCGGGCGGGCGGCGACTCACGCGCATCTTGTCGGCGTAAATACATGACGTCGCAAGCGATACTAGCTAGCGTGACGTTGTTGCCGGCGCTCGTAAAACTCTATGAGCCTTATTTACTACTTTCACGCTAATTCATTGTTCATTGCCTGAGCGATACATTTACGACAAGTTTCATATCTATGTTTTTAATCTATTACTGTATTAATGCTTTCTTAATTAACAACGAAAGTAACCAAAACGATAATATTATAAAACTTTTCCGTACGCAACAAAATTTTTTATTACTGACTATATAAGTGTAACACTCATAACAACAATTATTCATATATAATGTGTTACACATTGAGTTATTTGTAACAATGTTTACTAGATACAAACCGGTAAGTATTTACGCACTTGCGTCACGCCTACAGTCGCACTCGCACACACCATCAAAACAAGATAAGTAGGAGCGCCGCACAATACATAAACAAGTCGTAGCAAAAACAAGAACATTATTGCAAACACTTAATTGTTTATCGACGCATAATATAAAATTTCACAAAAATCACTGATATTTGCATGTAGATTATAGTTAATTGCAAGAACTTCCCCATAAAGTGTCAGATCAAATATGTAAGCAGGAGAAACCCGTGACTTAACCTTATTATCCCATTTACCTTAGCAAAGTCGAGGAGAGTACATGCATTTAATATAGGTAGAGGATGTCATTATCAGTGTGACGCGGTATTTCCCTGTGCGAGCAACAACTACGTCATGCGTTATTTACACCGGCCGGCAAATACGCGCAGCACGATACGCGGAATCGGCCCAATCAAAGTCGCCACTGACTCATACCACTGTTCGTTCGTAAACAACCACTATCCGTATTTGTATTTCTGCCACACACAACAAATACAACGATAGCACTTGCGCAACGTATATCTTTGTAGATAATTTCTTTTATTTTCAAGTGAAACCTCATAAAGAATCTGAAAGTTAGCCATGATAACCTTTTAACCAAGTTTGAAAATAGAATGTTGGTATAAAACACCGGAAAACGGGTCGGCCATGATATGTCAGGCAATAAGATACAAAAATAAAGAGTGCACGACCGAGAAATAAGGTCACCGGCAGGCCCGGAACCGAGTAACGGTATAGGTTACAAAATCGCGTCAAGAATTATTTTCACGTGCGCGCGGCACCGCCGCCGGTCGTACCGTTAGCCCACGGTGGCTGAGCCGGCTCACCATCGGTTAACCATATTGACGACCTGCTCACCGCTACCGCTAAGTGGAACGCAGAGAACCCGCTAATGTCATTACAGTCTTGTTGAAATACAAAACTTCCACGAACACCTGTCCAGTGCACATTGAATTATCGTCCCTAAAGGACAACTGAAAAGTGTGTGTAAAACTATTGTCACGTTGAGGACGGTCATGTCAGTCATTCTCTAAAATATAACATATGGTTAGTCGATGAATCATTTTCACGTGACTGCGAAATTTAGGCTTTTAAGTAGCAGCTCCCGATTCAAAATAGCGCCGTTCTCTTTTGGTTAGATTACGTAAATAGTTTTATAGAGATTTCCCCTGCACCTTTTGTTGACGGAGGTCGTAAACAGAATGGTGCGATTTGTCTCGCATAGAATGGCGGCGACGGCGATGGTACCAATGCCGCGCCGCAGACTGCGGACTGAGTGTGAAAGTGCCGCTCACACCTGTGCTAACCATGGACTATCAGATTCACTTATTTTTGCCTACAACAATGCAACGTTCTAGCGGCGACTCTACCTCGATCATTGCCACGATAAACTCGACGTAGCATTCCATGCTCGCACTTTGGAGCCCCATTATTTGTCAGCTAATTACATCTTTGCTTACCTTTACATTTGAATAATCTATGGTTGATTTTTGTTTCAATACCGGAAAATACTTAGCTTTGCACAACTATCAGGCAATTGTAACTGTGCTCAGCCGCGCAATCGAGCTCAAGTTAATATTGCAATGACTTCGATTTCTCTAATGCAATTTGATTTTAAGTACGTTGTGTAACAATTATTTCTTTCGTGGACCAAATGTGAGATTAAAACTTAGAATCTTCCTGTAATCTAAGCACGCCAACCATACGCCAACGCGTCAATTTGCTCCTTTGTCACTTGAATTTATCACGCATGAAATAACTTTGGAAACAGATAATAAAATTTTCACCCATGTTCGTATACTGATGACATAAACTTTCATGGAAGCGCTAGATCATTAACGTTACTACTACAATTACTATCACATTACACACTTATAATGGCAGCGAAAGCAGTTATAATTCAGAAGCAGAATTAATAGTGCGTTTTTCAGATTTTCCAGTCTATTCGTTTTTTTTTTCGATAGAACAGAGAGACACTTACGCTTATGGCGGTCAACGTAGCGTAGCATCGCGTGTCCAACAGCAATTTCACTTTGCTTATGTTACCGATCGTAATTCCATAATCGAACAAATTCTCCAATTTTAGACTTTCGTGGCTTGTACAAACTGATTGGTAT